TGTTTTTCATAACTTTCTATAAAGTTTTCATGGGGACCAGGAAGGGGTTTTCTCAAAATAAATAAAGAACTTGTGATATTCGGAAATGCGGAAAATTTCAAAAATTGAGAGGATGTCCTGTGAGTGTCGCTACTTAGAGCACTTCTCCTCCAAAATGTAAAAGACTATTCTGTAGCATAGCTTCCGATCCATCAACTCCCGATTCGCATATATATGCCCATGTTGGCCTACCACCTCCCACACCGGCATCAACGGCTTCAGGCTTGGTTTCAAATAACATCAATATTGTTCCCACCGAAAACTTAAGCGATAAGAATATTAACTCGAGCTGCCCTACTCACGCTGATTGCGCAATGGCCTCTTTTTGTGATAGTCACCGTTAACCCAAGCTCCGGAAAAATGGAAACAAAAAATTAAAGTCTCCTTTGCCCATAACTCTTTTGGCACAACTGCAGAGCCGCAAGTTGCACAAACAAGTTCTTGGCTCTTAATACTTCAAACACTAACTGTTCTGATTCGAATGTCGTCTCCTTCACAGCAGTTCTGCCCAGGAAAGCAATATTTGTGTCAAGACAGGTGTTGTACACCTCAAATGATAATATAGAAGATTAACTTGCTGTAAACGACCTATCTGTTAATTTTAATTGTGTTACCATTTCTAAGTTCTCTCCATGTCAAACTGGAGCTAACTCTTCCGGCATACTATATTTTGTTAAATAATTCTTCAATCTTTAAAAAATTTGGTCTATCTACCCGAATTCAGTGAGCACTGAGTATTGCTCTTTTGCTTTTTCTTAAATCAGGCTTAAGCCGGATTTCCATTCGTCGCAACTTTTCGCCATCACGTTTCATGTTTTCAGAAAATATCGATTAGATCGTACAGGTGGTAGTCTTTCAATTTTCATATTAGTTGCTTTTCTGTCCTATCTATGTGAATGTCCAACTCTTCCCGACGTCGCATTTATGGCCACTTGTGTGAAAGTTGGTAATAAACATTTATATATAACTTGTTCCTTGTTCCTCCAATCAAGGACTTATGCGCTTATAAGAAACACGCTGTCCTTATTTCTGGTGTCGCTGAAACATCGGTATCTACTGATATATTCGTAGTCTATTTTTTTTTACATTATTTGACCAAAACTTACTTCAATATAACCATACTTCTGTAATACTAATCGTAATGGCAGATTGCTAGATGTTTGCTTTGTTAATTTCCTAGAGATAGTTGCTTGTCTGAGGTTGCCTGTCACTCAGCAATTTGTTTGTTATTTCATTACGAGCCGCATGGCCATCTGACTAACACAAACTTGTTAAATCCTTGTTGTTCAAATATGCAACATGATTTTAATAGAGCCAATATTCCACTGACAAAATATCATCTCTCACACATTACGCTAGATTTTACTGCTGGGAACAAGGGAAACTTAATATCCTCGTTCTATAATGTATTCAACCTAGCTATTTCTGACCACACAACCGCCCTTTTAAAGGTATGTGCTATAAAAATAAGAACAACAAATTTTTCAAAAAATGCATGGAAAATGCATCTGCATGCAACTATTTCGTTTACTCTTTGATGGGACCTTGTCAATTATCTAAACCATCAAAGTTGTTCCAATTACTTTCATAGAGTAAAATCGTCGCTTCTTAGTAATTCCAACTACTGTTATAAATTTGTCAACTCTAGAAGAGGAATACCCATATATATACATGAAATTTGTCGAGCCCTTCATCAAGTGCAAATGTGAAAAGGTTCCATAAAGCGAAGCGTAAATCAACTAAAACCTAAAACTGGTTCTGAAAAAAGCAATGAAGAGTCAGAAATTCATTCCTACTTGTTCAACTCGCTTTTACAAAGAGATGAAGAAACGCAACGTTAAGAAAATTATGAAGAAGATTAATCCGAAAGTAATCAAGACCAAGTAACCAAGACGAAAAGCAACTTGAAAATGAGATTCGCTGCAGTGGAATGCAGATATGTAAGATGTCTCGATACATAGCAATTAATTTTAGGAGACTAAGATGATAAATTGATTATAATTCATTAATTATTAAGATCTTTTGAAAGAAGTGTTATATATATTCATCCCGTTATACGTTGAACTATTATTCCTTATGTTGTTATTAAATGTGCATTTACAACAGCGTGTGATATTGACAGCGAAGTACGAGTACAAATAAAAGGAAGTTTGAACTTATAAGCTAAACGAAAAGGACGGGTTTTTAGCTCGAGGTTAATACACAACATTAATACATATACTATTGATTTCCACGATCCCAATATTTTAGAAAAGGGAGTTCACCCTTCTCAGAACAGAGTAGTTGCCACTGAAGATTTTGACCTTTCGAAATGCATTAAGCAACTCAGAAATTTGTAGAAATAATTAGCTATTATTATAGACATACTTCCGAATTAGCAGATCTTGCATGTCCAATGGGCCATCAACTCATTTGAAGCTATTAGAAAGACATTCCCCTTAAGAGCATTGACAAATCATTTTAAGAATGGTTCCGAATTATCTTCAACGATCTCGGATATACACATTTGGCGACCCTGTGCAATTAAGCCTTTATGGCCAGGTATGAGTAAGAAACTCAACATCTGGTCCTGTCAATATCAAAAGTCTAAGGCTCATTGAAATATCAAACCGCCTGTCACAAAATCCCTTTTCCCAATGGAAGGTTCGAACGTATATGTAGGCAACTGGTTAGTTGCCGCCATCGAAAGGTCGTTATATCTTAACGACTACAGATCGTTGTTCTCGTTGGCCTATGGCGTACTCTTTGCGATATATTGAAGCCGACATAAATGCGTGAAAGTTTTTAAACAGTTATGTTTTATGGTTCAGGGTTCTTTTTAAAGTAATTAGCAATTCAGGGACCACAGTTTACGCTAAAATTTTTCAGAAAATTTATTCAGTTATTGGATAGTCACAGAATTACCATTCCCTCGTATCATGTTCAGGCCCACCGCACGCTCGCATAGGCAATTGAAAGCGACCTTCACTGCTAATATTAAGTTTGAAGTTTATTTTCCTGAAGAATAAAAGGTTGTAAGTTTACTCTTGTAATTACTAGTCAAGAATCATTTGATGGCTCACCCAGAGTCTTATCGAAAAAAGGTAGGGCTTTTTAAGGCTGCGATTGACAGTGCCACCAAAACCTTCCCTTCACAAAAGATAAAAACACCACGTTACAAATTTTATGGTTACAAATGTCGCCCCTTCATGCTGACATGGCCGGTGCAGCCGCACACGTGTCACATCGAGCGTTTAAAAAGCTACTAAATAAACTGTAATAACCGACATTGATTTGTCTTGCTGTAAAATTGTTATTATGAAAGGCTTCCCGAAGGACAATAAATTATTATAAAAGTCCTGGAACGAAAGTCTGGAGATAGAGTCCCAGCTCTGATCTGTCTTCAACTAAATGAGGCTAGTTTACAAAAAAAATAGCACAAAACAAATTTTTTTTTTTTGCATTTTCGAATATTGGCTGCCCAAAATTCAAATTTTAATTGTTATTAGATCCTAGGTACAAGAATTAGGCATGCTCATCTAAAAGCTATGATTAATTATCCTGTCTAACACGAAACCATTTTTTATAGGTGGTCTTTAAAAAACAGACCCCAAAGGTTGAATTTTTAAAATGTTTAATCCAAAATTTTGGATATTATTGTGCAAATAATACTTTTAATTTTTCAGGCAGCGTTTGAATTCCACGTCAGAAAGGGGATCCACCCTTTAAAATTTTTCAAGAACCCTTTGGCGTCTTCGACATTAAGTCTTAGCGGTAACAATTTTTCGTGATTGTTGTGTTTGTTTGAAGCGAACATATTAAACGACTTCCAGCTAATCCCCCGAATTTTAGACCACAATTTGGAAATCATGAACATTTGACTACGGTCATACACGGGCGGCCTTATTTCATGATTTTCTTCGCTTTGGTAGCAGATCCATTTCTCATCGTCAACTACGAAACCGTACAAAACCCTCTTCTATTTCACTAACGCTTTCAAAAATTTTGAAACTGAAGCGTAATCAGCTGCTAATGATTCCGCAATTTCAACTACCAGCTGGCATGGGCTATCCTTCTAATTCCTCGCATTCTTCTTCGGTGAGAAATCTAGTTTTGTATCTTCAAGAACAAAATGATCTTTTTTGAAGCGTCTAAACTAATCATTAGCTTCAACTACATATGCTTTTTGAATAAGTTTTAATAATATGGTTTCTTAGAAACATACCAAAAACGTAAGAAAGCTTTTTACACTGCAACGAAAAGTCGTGCGCTAGACTTCAAGTTCGCTTAAAGATGTTTAGGTGATGGTAATCTTAACCAAAACGCAATATAGTAACGTCACCGGCGGGTAAATAGTGAGGACTTTGCGCTTATACTATAGAAAATGTAGGGAAAATATTTTTCTGTAACTTTGAAATGCACTTAACCCCTTATTGCAACAAAAAAAGAAAAAATCCCTTCGTAGAGCTACAGTAATATTTAGTAAGTAAGTAATTTAACCCTTTTTCGATACGAAAATGAAAAAACGTTATTGTTATATCGCAGAGATATTGTTGGTACGGATCATCTAATTTAAAATGCTATTACAATACTTTTGTGGTGGTAAGAGACCAAGAAGAGGAAGATGGACTGTCCGCATGACGGGCGAATGTATGCACATGCCAGTAGGCAAGCACACTAAAAAGAATGATTAATAGATGGCCATGGCGGATGGGACGAATGAATTTTTCAAATTGATACGTGTTTAGTTCCTTACCTGATAGGAGAATTGTCTTAGTATTTTATAAAGGCGATTAGCTTCTTCAGCGAAATATTCAGCTTGCGTAAATAAGTCTTGAGTGGTTTTTAGAGATCCGTTTCCTTTTGTAAATTGGTACATAAGGAAAGCCATGGCTGAAAGGTTTTTAGCCCTCTTTATTATATCATTATCACAATAGTCATCACTCCAGCGTGGCTGTAGATCTCGTTTAACAGTTTCAGTTTCTAAATCCAATTCTTTACTGGTTTCCGGTAAATCTTTTTTGAAGTTTACAGTTTTTGTCGCCTTCCTTTCAGCTATACTAGTCTTAAATTAAAACCAAAAGAAAAAAGAAAATGTGCATTAACGAGATGCACTCCCAATGATATATGCACTCCCAATGATATAGTTTATTTAGTATTATATATGTATATATACAAATATATTACACTTAAGGTAATTTTGATGTTTCGGCAATATCAAAAACAAGTACTCTTGCGGAATAAGTTATTAAGACAAAAAAAGGAGTAATAAGAAGCAAACATATATTTATTCATTCACATATGTTATCATTTTTATGATCATCTTATCAAATGTTTGCTACACCCAAAGCGGTACAGTGTGTGTATTTCTTGATGAGCGTCAAATTCAGAATCTACACTGGCATTTGAGTGCATCTATGTGTCCTACCTGTGCGATAGTAAATATATTCTTAGTCGCAAAAAAATAAAATGCTAGGTTCACATCTGGTAATTGTATTGAAGGTGGGTTGCTTTGAAAATGTCCCAAAACGTCAAGGAATGCAACCATTGCGCATTTTCCATAAACCGCAACAGAGACACGGTAAAAATTTCCAAGCGTGCTATACGACGAGTGAGTAATTATATTCGGCTGGGGCCTTTGAAGTCTTTGGCACCCCGTTATTTTATTTACTGCCATAAAAATGTGAATGAAACCTCACTTATATTTCACTAAAAGTTATTGCTACTGCTACTGTTTATCTACGCCATCACGATGACCACCACTACTTGTTTACAATTAACACGTTTAGCTTTTCGAATTTTTCTCTTCAGTTGCTTTTATTTGGTACCCATATCGCTGATATTATTAAGAAAAAATGAACCCATCGGGCCATGATATCCCCCATATTTATTTAAGATTTAACGTATTTTTGGGCAAATGATATATGTTCTTTGGAAGAATAGAAATAGTTTTAAACATTTTGTCTTATATACCTTATGACTAATAAGCAGACGACATGAAAAAGTAAAAAAAGAAAACGTAATCACCTATGCGGGCACGGCCAATTTTTGTACGCAAATGTCAGGTTTTGCATAAAGTAAATGTGGAAAATTGCAGCCTTCTGTCTTTTATAATTTACAAGTAACAAGCACAATATATTTTGGAAAAAGGAAAATGCGTTCAGTTCACGCCCGACTGTGCGCTTGTGCCCATATCTAATAGCATCCTGCCAGCAAAAGCTTCGAATTTCGAAGTCGATATCCTCGCTTTTGCTAAAAATGGTAAGGTGGGTGTATAGGAAAAATTTCACCAGAAAGGAGAATATTTTTTTTCGTTTTTCTCAAAATAGTGAGCATTCTGATTTTTACATTGTTTAGGCCTTAGGCCTTATGAAATGTATGTTGTATTATATAAAATATAGTGTCTGAGCCTCGTCAGTCTGTATAGTTATTTTAGTTTTTAACTATAAAATACTTTTCAGAGATAATTTTTCCCTTCACAACTTAAAAATTTTTTTTTTTTTTTTCAATAGACGGTGATACTACTTACATTTTCCAAAGTTAAATATTTTAAACCTTGATCGTTAACATCGGCTGTGGCTTCAAGAATTCTTTTCGCAACATCAGTGACTTCGGCGACCAGGAAAGTCCACATGTCGGTAAATGCTTCAAAATTTTCACTAGCCACATTGCTCAAGGGGAACTTAGTAAGGATTTTGGCAGCTAGTATTACTTGAGGTCCATAAATCCGTAAATTGATCGATACGTGGCTGGCTTGTTCTTTTAACGCGTCTTGTACCGCGATGTGTCGTAACAATTTGCAGACTTCTAGAATGTGATCGCAATGTTCATGAAATTCATTAACTTGCTGGTTAAATTGAGTTAAATTTTGCTGAGAAATTGTCAAATTTATATTGTTAACCAGCTCTGTAGACATTTTTAGAGCTTGGAACAGATCGTTAGATTGTTCCACGGTCGATGAAACTAATTGCTCAGACAATATCTTAACTGCCTCCAGAACTGTATCAACGTATTCATCTTGGTAGTGTTTTCCGAACTGTTGTTGATCATTTTGTTTTATAACGTTTCTTAGGTACTTGTTCAATTCATGAGTACAGTGGTCGCAGTAAACAAGTATATTCTCACGCATTTCGTGGCTGGTATAAGCTGAATCAGTAAAATCGTGTACATTTTCTAGAATTTTATCGAAGGATATGAGCAACTTTTCAATAAGGTCATTCTCTACTCTAATAATAGTGCCGGAATCCATTTTGTATTTGGCGTTATTTAAATATTCTTCACAGTCGTAAGTATTGTTCAGCAAACTTTCACTTTCCGGCAAACAGGTGTTGTCGTAAAGTTTCTTGGTCTTATTGTCAAGAGTCCAGTGCTTCTCAGTTGACTCCTTGCGGTAAGAGGGATGGTTGTGGTTGCTTTCGGTCCGATAATAACCGTCATGGGGTTTCGCTTTGTAACGGCAGCATTGAATCAAATAAGTAAAATGCTGTATTGTTGCTTGTATGGTACCTCGGTCATCATTTTGATGATAATAGAAATGCGCTTTCGTAGATTGCCATTCCGATTCCAAAATTGTGTCTTTAACAATAAAATGAATATGATCCATCCCCCGTCTAATTTGACAAAATATAGTATTACGATTCTCGCGACCTATAATGCAGTTGTGATGAACGAGGCATACTTTTGACGATGTGATCAAAACTTTAACAGAATGCTCAAGAACTTGGCGTGCCGAAAAAATCTCCGCACGGCGTGTGTCCTCTTTCACACTGCCCATGATATTACCAGTCAAACAAGTTAGCTCAATAATTTCTGCTCCAAAAGCTGAAAAGGCTTGGACAAACTTGGAAAAATTTATAACGCTTTCTAGATTTTGAGGGCCTCTTGGGTCTTTCGACTTGAAGCTAAGCAATTGTTTAACCACAATAATATCTACTAGTAATAACACCCGGGTTATGGAAGCAAGAAGAGAGCGTGAGGCTAAAGCAATAGCCGCGTTATCGATGAATGGCTTACTAAGTCCTTCAAGGTTCAAATCGATCGACATGCATAATTGTTCAATTGATTTTCCTGTAAAAAGAAAAAAATGTAAAAAAATTTGGTTACATAAACGCAAAAAGAGTAGATATTTCCAGTCAGCAAATAGCTAATGTGTATATATGCACGCTTTTATATTAAGAGCATAATTACAACCTAACCGTCTATAACAGAGCAAAAAATTTTTTCTGAAAACAACGTTGCGGGAAAAACAGTTCGAAACATTGAAGTTTAAGTGGTAAGATAGTACCATTGATCAACTTAAAGGATACGCCTACGATTCTTAAACGACGGTTAAGTCAACAAAAACAGTCTATTTTCATAAGGAGGCATGTAGACAAACGCATGCCAACACAAATTTCTTAACGCAAAGAAGATGAATGGCTATCGAACGTATTCTATTGAATCTACTTAGCACCAGTAGTATGGTGACCACAAGGCAGAGACACACTCAAATGTTGGTCTCGCTAAGCTCATATACACACTGTAACTGAAAGATTGTCAAGGTTGGTAGACTACCGTTTAATAAAATCAGATATGTAGTTTATAGTCAAATAAAATCGCTAAATCCATGAACGAATCTTCATTTTATAATTTTCGTGAATCGATAAAATAATCATTATTGAATGCAGTCCTCCTTGACAATAAACGCTCCTTATATTTTTTTAAATCCAAGTTATCCAAGTGAGGATAAAGAAGATGCGAGTGCGATTCCAAGGTAAAAGGAAAAATAAATTTAACATCGTAAGGATACATTACGATAAGGCTAGATTTAATCACCGAACGAAGGTCAATGATTAAAAGGAAAACAGAGAGGGTCCTAAGTGGCCTCTAAACGATCTGTTATGGAGATAAGATAATTATAAATTTAAAGGGAAGCTAGAGGGTTGTATTTTGATGATAAATAACTTATGGCTAAATAAGTCAAACGCTTTAGTAAAATCATTGTATATGACATTCGTGCGAGACACTTAGAGAGAGCCTTGAAACCATGACAAATGTACTCTAAGAGGTTTGTAATGGCTGATATACGAAGCCACACTGAAATGTAGAAATATAATATATTGTTACGAAAATCCCAAATTCAGTTAAATGTCAGCTAAGTAATTTTCGTAAGAATAAATTCCGTAAAGAAGGGAAAATCAAATGAGCATTCGCAGGCGCCTCATGCAGCTGCAGGCCAATGAAAACGATTAGTGGAAAAGCAAACAGGTAAAAGCTAAGTGCATATTCGCAGGCTCGTCATGCAGGTGCAGGCCGATGGAAACGATTAGAGGAAAAACCAGGCTGGGATTAGACCATAACCAAAAATTTAGGTATAGTAACATTCTTGTAAAATTGTATATAAATCGAATATTTGTGAAAAGTAGAGTTAGTCTGGCAAGAACGTAGAAGTTGAGAGTACGGCCAAAATAAATTGTAAATAAATATTCCTACTGTTGTAAAAGACAAACTAGTAAAATAAAAGAACTTTGAAGTGCATTTCTCTTGATCGAAATATCCACGATATAGTGGTACGGAGCGAATTTCATAACAATATGATAGCGAAAGATTATTACTGATTAGCAATTTTGTTTAAACAATTTAGCTAGGAAGTTCAATTTGACAACACCTCTATAGTTCCTCTACGTTTCCGCGTTTGTAAAGAGGGGTAAGAAAGTTACTCTTCCAACAAGAAGGTAAAATACCTCTTTTCGAAGAATGGTTTAAAATTATTGAGATAACATCAGTTAGCTTATCAGAGCGTGATTTGAGTGCACACGATGGAATGCCATCAGGGGCAGGCAAACAACTATATGTTAACGACCTTCAACGTTGTGATATATCATTTTCCAAAATGACCAAACTCTTCGATGTCTTTGCCGAATTTGATGACGAAAGCATGTAACACCAAAGGCTCCAACATGTTTGTCTACAATAACAACAATAGCAACGACAATACAAAAGCAATGAAATAACAACGATAAGAACGCCAATAATAATACCGTCACTATAACTAAATAAACACAATAACAGCAGTAACAACAGTGTCAACACCAACTATGCAATAACAATAGTACACAGCAATAATAATAAACCGATATAAACAGCCACTTAGGTCTTTTATGTCGCCACCTCAGCAAGGCAACAGTCTCAACTAAATCCTTCCCCAAACACATCGAACTAGAGCGGTTGATTGATTGGGCATTACTCGCAGAGTGAATGCGCGATTGGCAAAGGCTTAATTCTTGCCGATTCGGCCCGCTCTTGCGACTACACCCAACTCTAACCTTAAATCGTGAAACGTTAGAAGTCTCCTCGAGCATCCATCACGCGGACTGCGGACAAATGTTTTCGCGATAGACGCACGCATACGCAAGTATTGACCCGATATGCTCGCTCTTTGTAAGACACAGGTGGTGGAAATAACACACATCACTGTTTTCACTTACCTGTGTTTCACGATGAGCGAAAATGTCGGGTCAATATTTCCACTCACCTGAGGACCAAGTCATTCAACATTACATAAGCACAGAGGTCTTGTGGTACACATCAGTAACGATATAGTGTTCCAGTGCCAGCAGCAATATTGCACCCAGGATTTCGATTTACCTTTTTATAAGAAAAATTAATTATGAGGACAAACACGTAGCATTTCAGATTTGTGTGCTGAAGCTCAAACGGTTAGGATGGTTTCCTCTAATGTCTTTGACACCCTGTCCAACTCTATATCTTCCATTTTGCAAAATTACTCGAACAGGTTGCTGACGATTTTTGTGTCAAAAATTGCGTACGCCTTTCGAACCATATAACTGTGGAGGGATGCGAGGCAGAAATCATGGCATTTGAGAATTGCTTAACGCGACTTAAAGATGGACCTTACATTAGAGATCTTTCCTACTTCGCCTCCACACATATATGGAGCTAAGATCTTCGCACCTCTTGGTTACTCGGACCGTACTCGTACCATATTTGCGTCCTTTTCGCATGCACATCTTCTCCACGTCAGTTCCGAAAAGTAATATTTTTATATATGATAAGGAAAGTTGGGTGGGTCGAAAACTTCTTGGCATTTCACGACATTTTGTGCATAGCTCTTAAGAAGCACTGTGAATCACGTGTCAGGCCAATGAGCGATCTTTACATTAAGTGCTACATTGCATTTTCCAAAGTAGGTGGAAGGCAGCCAATATCCAACCCATACACATGAAACCCCATAAATTCTGAAAACACCAGATTGAGTCTGTCCAGAAATAATTCCTTATATTTGCTTGACGTGGGCTTGAATGGAGCTCCAGTTGCATTCTTCGTCCGTATATTAATCGATTCAAAGTGATTAGTCTTTCAACACTTTATAAGCGGACTTGCACCTGGTGTGGCTTTTGCGGTTAAATTGGTCAATGCTGTAATCTCATCGCTATGACTACTTGGCGATATTAATCTTAATGTCCAAAAACGTGTATCAAGACCTTTATCCCGATTAATTTACCATTCTATCGTTCGAACTATGAGCTTTCTAACCCCTTTTACGCTGCTTCTGAAAGCGCATATGATTATTATCATTTATTTTCTTTTTCTGCTTTAGTTAGCCGAATCAAAATGTTAATAATTCGTTGAGTATACTTGTGAAATGAACTTTTTTCAAAATAGTATGTATACGAGTTTTATATAATAACTTTACTACTTTGCATTATTATTAACAAATTAGATATTATTAACTTAAATTTAAGTTACAAGTAAGAGAAAAATATTTCTAAGATAAACAGTAATAAGTTGCTCTTGCTGCGATTATAGAGCGAGAAAAATCAATTTTAACGCTTTGATTTCTCAGACCAAGCGTAATTTTAAGGACTTATCTGAAAAATTAATTGTATTTTACGTCAGCTTCAACGAACAACAAGATTTATTCAAAAAGTGTAACCTCAAGGAAGATAACCGTCTTAAACCGTGTCAGGACTTCGCATGCGGGGAAACCTCTCCTGCACCGCTTTCTGTGCCCGCACGTCCTGCGGTGACTCATGTCTACTTCTGCTTATAGAGGGCTTGTCGATTTTAACCTCTCCAAATTCTTCTCCGAGTCTGACTTAAGCAACGCCAATGATAAAATTAACCAATTATGGAAATTGTGTCATTTAGTTTTTCCTCCATATTTTGTTGATTGCTTGTTCTCCTTTCTAGATGGTAGATCATTTGGGTACTTCTTAACACTTTTCAATCCAATGGGATTCTTGTCACTCCAGGTGTCCCACAAGGAGTCACTTGAGGCCGATTCTGTTTATTCTACCCCTTACCTACAGAATCTGCCCACATCCCAATGTACGCAGATGACGTCTGTTAATTCAAAAATTCAATCATCCTTCCTTCAAGCTGACATAAACAATTTGGTAACGCGGTGTTCCTCCAAATTTATGTGATTAAACCAAAAAAAATATAAGAATTTCGAGGGGGAACTTGTTCGCAACTTTTACAGACACACTTAGACTGGCGAAAGTCAATTCATTGCTGGACCTAGGTATATTGTTTGATCATAAGTTTCGGTTCAATTTGCATATTGAACACTCGGTAAATACTACATCTGCGCTAGGTCTCATCAAACGCTGGTCAAGGGAATTTTACGAACGCGTACATCCAATTGTACTTGAATTGCAATTGTTCTTCAAATGTATGAATTGCGCAATTCAGCTGAATCTTCGGTGTAGTGGAATTCCGTGTTTATAAAATTAAATTAAATGAAAAAAAAATTAAGATCGGCCATCATAAAAACAACACCAATTCAACTTTAAAACCCAATTTGTGAGAACAAATAACTTCACAACAACTACAAGTCAAGTTCATTAGAAACATAAACGCAACATAGACATCATAACACGCATCATAATCACCATTATCGTTACGTGTAGCAGCATGTATTAAAATGATAAAGATAAGTAAATCCGCAAAGTTTACATCAGTACGCTCGTCAGGTAGCAGTTCAGTAGACTATCGTAAGTTCTGACGTATAGGCACATGTATTGTTTTCTATTATTGTTAATATGTTTATATTCGAATGTCCC